TGGAGTCAAAAAGAATTGCATTCAAATCCAGCTTCACTAGCTATGTAACCCTGGGCAAGTCACTGCCTTCAGTTTCCTCATTTGTAAAATAGGGATAATAACAGCACCTACTTCCCAGGGTGGTTGTGAAGATAAAATCAGATGTTTGTGAAAGCATTTCCCAAACATTAAAATACTCTATAAAAGCTGGCTGTTATTTTTATTGTAAAGAGAAAAGGAGAAAAAAGTGAGTTGATTCTGAACTTTTTTCCTCTTTTAAAGAAAGTCACGAGCAGCACTGGGGCATAATGGGTAAAGAGCCGGACTTGGAATCAAGAAGACCTGAGTTCAAGTCCTGCCTCTGATACATGTTGGCTGTGTAACTCTGGACAAATCATTTAACCTCTTAGTGTCCTAGGCAACTCTCTAAGACTTAGAGTTACAGGGCAGGTGCAAATCTTCATGGGTGGGAGGAGTTTTCTTGCTGGGAGTTTACCAAGTCCTGTATGTCATCATCCCCTACAATGATGAAATCCCAGGACACCCACACTCAAACAGCAACAACAAAAGTAAACTGAGTGACATGGGTCATCTAGGTGCCCGGCTAGTTCTTTACCTTCAGTTCAGAGGGATACCTGTTTTAAAAAGTGAGGAGATTCCCAGGACAGTTTTCTTTGAAGCATTCAGGTCAAAGAAATGTACTTGTCTTTTAAGGATGAGTCCGGTTTAGAAATCAAAACCAGACTCACTTTAAAGCACTCAATCTCTGGCCTCTTGGTAGGAGCAATGACTGGGAGCAGATGCCCTAGGTTCTGTTCTTGACTGTTACCAGCAGACTCCCTGTGGGCCAATACTTCCATTTCTGTGGAAGTCAGAGGTTATGATGTGATGACTTGGCATGGTGCAAAGACCAATGGCCTAGGAGTTGGGTGAACTGAGTTTCAGTCTCATTTGTTCCAGCTGGAGTGAGAGATTGGCCTTTGGAAGCTCATTTATTCTCTCTGGGCCTCCACTGTACAGAATAGGCAAGAATGAGTTCTGAGATCCATCCAGTTCTAAAAATTCCATAACTCAGTGACCTATCTGTGGCCTAATTTGTGGTGTGCCCTAATGAATTGGAATCTGTCTGTCTTTTGCAACCTTTGTGACAGTGGTCAAGTCACCCCAAGTCACTTTGCCTTTCATGGTCCTCAGTTTCCTCATATGTAAAATTAGGGATTTGATTAGATGATTTCTAATGACCTTCCAGTTCTCGATGTTATCATATGCACCTTATGGTGACCTTGGACTTATCAAGTCAAACCTCTAGAGAGCTTCCTGTAGAATGTATAGCCATGAATTATTTCCTATTCCCTTCAACCTGGCCATGATGATGCACCTTTGATTTTGTGTGTCTGAGACTTGGATTTCATCGGTACAAGAAGCTTGCTCTGCCAATGCAGATCTGAGTGTAATATGGAGTAGAAGACAATTGCCTGGAGTCACTGAGAATCTGGTGACTTTTCTTAAGATTACACAGCCGTGTTTTAAAGGTGGGACTTGCTCCCAGGCATTTTGACTCCAAGGCCAGTTTTCCATCCAGCAACATTGCTTCTCATTTGGTTGGCATTCAATATTCCAGGAGTGTATCTGATGTGGAGATTGAGAAAAACCTATATAATCAATAGAATTTTTTTAAATGGTTGTGGGAATGGTATAGGAAGGAGGGATGATTAAGTATTAGAGGAGAAGAGTGGATTGTTCTCTAAGCTCAGCTTATTCCGTTGTATTTCAGTGAGATCTGTGATCTCATCCATGTAGAAAGTCCATCTAGTGCAAATGGCTTGTAACCCGTCCATGCCCTCTATTCCCTTGCATCTCATGTCCCTGTCCTCTTGTAGATTCTCCATAGAAAGTCTGCCCTGCATGCTGGGAGCTCTCCTTTCTTTAGATCTCTCAAGATGATCATCTCAGGCAATCACACATAGCCCCTCCACCTCCATTTCTGACTCTTAGATGTGGTCATTTACGCTTTACTTTGCTGCACCAAGAAATAATGATAAATACATCAAATGTTAGAACTGGAAGCAACCTTAAAGGTCCATCTCGTTTTACAAAGGATGATAGAAGGATGCTTCCACCCCTGGTTTCATTTCTATCTGTGCTTAATGACAAAGTGCTACCTAGATTTCCTTAGGATCCTTTCCTGATCCCTCCCAAAAGGTCCAGGGCCCTCACCACTCTGTCTTGTGCTACCTGTGAGAAAACTGAGGCTCAGTAAGGCTGAGAAACATACAGACCAAGGCTAAGTACAAAGTGAGAAGCAGAGGCTGACATCAAACCCAGCTCTTCTGGCTTTAAATCCAGGCTTCTTTGGATGTGACATGGGTAGGGGAGAATGATGAGACTTGGCACTCCAAATGTTCCTTCCTGCTTCCTCACTGACCTGCTGTAACCTCCAGCTGTTTTGCCCTTGGCCTTCCAGATATTCTAGGGAATAGGAAGGACCTAGACTGCAGGATAAAGGGCCAGAGGAACAGGGGGCCCAATTACCTGCTTGTTAACACTGGACTTATAGATCATCATACTCAGAAAAGCCCCACTGAATCCTGGGTATCTTCAGGCTATGCCAAAGCTAGATTAATAGCTGCTCGGTGATATTTGAGCCCCAATCCCTTTTAATCAAGAATGAATCTAAATATTAAAATGAAGAGAATGAGGTGAAAAGTTAACAAGTCAGTCTTTCCTACACCTAATCCAGAGCATCCTGTGAAGAAAGAAGTTCTAAATATGAGTTTGCCAAAAAACTGTCAATGTGCACTGAGGAAAGGTGGAGGCAGCTCTGGATAGGCATGGAGACAAGGAGCTGGATCTGCTGACTCCTTCACAATCGCAGAGTTATCTGGCTGTGTCTCATATGTTTCCAGGTTTATAGGGGGGTCTGTCCCACTCCTGCCTGGACAGCAACCTCTTTCTATAACATCTCTAACAAGGAATCCTCCAAGCCCTACTTCAAGATCTCCCATGATGAACTATTCCATGGAGCTCACTCCATTTTTAACAGTTACAAATATTAGGATCATTTTATATCAAATCAAAATCTTCTGGAAGAAAAGGGCGGGCAGACCTCCTAATATCCTACTGCATGTGGCATGCTAAGGGATCATAGAATCAGAGCTACCTTATTTGGGCATGGGAAGGGACCTTAGTGGCTACCTAGTCTGACCCATACAGGAAAGGAATTCCCTGTGAGTTCACTGAGAGCAGGAACTCCCAGATGAGAAAGGTCCCTCTGCCGATATGGATTAGCACCTTCTCTGAAACCTAGAAAGTTGTACACTGTGCTAGCCAGAAGACCAGTGTTTGAATTTTGTCTCTTCTTCTGACTACATGTGGAATAACTTTCATCCTTATTTCCTATTTCTGCTCTTCAGGGCCCAAAAGGAAAAGCAGAATCCTTCTTCTGCCTAGTAGCTGCTCAAACAACTCAAAACAGGTGTGATGGCCATACCCTCCTTCTCCAAATCCTCTCTTCTGTTGGCCAAGCTTCACTAGTTCCTTCAATGGTCCCTCTTCCCTCCTATGCTCTCCAGTTCCCCTACCATTCTCTTTATCTTCTTGGGACGGTCAATTTGGTTGACCAAATTTTGATGCCCCAAATGACCATAGTACTCTCATGGTCCAATCTCCTCATGTTACAAATGAAGAGACCAAGGTATGACTCAATAGCATAAAGTGACTTGTGCAGGGCCACACAGTGACAGTCAGTGACCAAAGCAGTTCTAGGCAGGCCCAGGTCTGCTGGCACTCCCAGAGCACTGCCTTCTTCCAAGGCAGCTCTGTTCTAGTTGGGCATAGTCAGCTCTTCCTTAATCTCCCTGAGCTCCTATGTAGTACTGTCGATGGTGGACACCCTGAAGAGTAATGGAGAGTCAGCAAGGTGTGGTGAAGAGAGTGATGAGCCTAGAATCCATCCATCCATCCATCCATCCATCCATCCATCCATCCATCCATCCAACCATCTATCTATTCATCCATCCATCTATTCATCCATCCATCCATCCATCCACCCACCCATCCATCCATCCATCCATCCATCCAACCACCCACCCATCCATCCATCCATCCATCTATCTATCCATCCATCCATCCATCCATTCATCCTTCCATCCATCTATGAGACAGCAGCCGTGGTAGGACCTAAGGACCCAAAGTGTTGCCCTCAAAGAACTTACATTTTATTGGTGGAGTCAACATGTACCTAAATATATGTAAAAATAAACTCAAAGGAGTTTCCAGGCTGTTTAGGGAGGGAGGGCACTAGCAGCTGGGAATAGGGGAGAGACTGGAGGAAAGGATTCAGGTAGAAGGTAGAGCTTGGGAGGGGCCTTTCCTCACCTCAGCCTCTTAGAATCCTTCTCTTTGTGTATCATCAGGTCTCCTGATTCCTCTCCCAGCATTCTTTCCACACTGATAATGATAATAATAGGTGACATTTTTAAGTACCTACTATGTACAAAATACTGTATGAATATTATCTCATTTTGTGGTCACAATAACCCTATAAGGCAGGTGCTGTTATTTTCTCCATTTCAGACAATTGAAGTTTACAGAGGGCAAGTGACTGGCCAGGGTCACATAGCCAGTAAGTGTCTGAGGTTGGATTTGAACTCATATTTGTAGCACCCCAGAGGCTGCCTAGTCTCACCCATATCTGAAAAAACGAATCCTTACTCTTGCCTTTCCATCCATGGTCATCCAGCCTCTGCTTGAAGCCTGTCAGTGAGGGCGCAGAGTGCCCTCCCAGGGCATTCTGTTTATTTTACTCTGGAACAGCCCACACTGTTAGGCAGACACCAGGGCTCGTCCTCCACATTCCGTCTGTCATTTAGTCCTTGGCTATTCATTCTAAGGCTCAGCAGTCATCCTCCATGTGTACTTTGAATGAGCAGTCCATGGAGTTCCAAAGGTTAAAGTTTAGAAGGGTATGGGCTGATCTTTGCCAGCATCTGCTCTTTCCACAGACAGAGCCACCAGATCTGCTCCGGACTGGAGAAATATCCCAGAGCCAGCCAACTAGTGACCCCTGGATTTAAAGGCCTTCTCTATCTTAGATACTTGAGAGGGCCAGCATTTAGGAATCAGGAAGGAAGGGAAGGTAAGCTGATTCAGGCTGGATAATTGTGACCTTAGTGAACCAATTCCCTGCTATTCAATCATTTTTTAAAAATCCCTACCTCCCAGCACCCCATTTTCAAAATGGGGTTTGTTCCTTTCCTTGAATAGTTATGATGTATTTATCTACCATGGCCTTCTTCTTCTCCCTCCCTCCCTTCCTTCCTTCTTCCTTCCTTTCTTTTTTCCTTCTTTCCTTCTTTCTTCCCTCTCTCCCTCCCTTCCTTCCATCTTTCCTCCCTCCCTCCCTTCCTTCCTTCTTTCCTCTCTCCCTCCCTCCCTTCCTTCCTTCCTTCCCCTCCATCTCTTCCTTCTTTTTTTTCTTTCTTTCTGCCTGCCCACAGCTAGCATGTTTTTTGATGAACCGGATGAGAAGTTTGCAGTTTCCTGTGGGGGCATTTCCAATAATATTTATTCAGACTGTTATTTAATGAATCATATAAATATTGATCATACATAGCAACCCTTTGATCTTCAACAATTTCAAAAAGGAGCCTTGTTCCTTCTGAGGGCACAAAGAAGAGACATGTTTGGTTGTGGGTTATTTTAAGGATCCATGCCCCAGTGTTGGGGTGGGGTGGGGGGCATTCAGGTAAGATGCAGTGCGGATTGTCTCACTTCCCCTCACTCCTCCACCTTTTTTTTCCTGCTTCCTTTGATTTCCCCTGGCTTCCTTCGAGTCTCAGCCAAAATCCTATCTTCTAAGAAGCCTCTCCTGATCCCCCTTAAAAGCTAATGCCTTCTTTCTCCTGTTTGTCACCAGTTTGTTCTGTGGATCTCTTATTTGTAGGTAGTTGTTTGCCCTTCCCTATTAGGGTGCAGGCATCTTGAGGACAATGATTGTTTTGGCCTTTTTATATTCCCAGGGTCTAACCCAGAGCCTAGTGTGTAGTCAATGCCTATCGCCTGCCTGCCTTGCTCCATGCAGGCGTCCCATGCCACCACTTCCTCCTCTCATCCGTGCTTTGATGCTCCCTTTAGTTTCCCACGGAAGTTTCACAATTGCTTAAAAGTTTAAGGAAATGAAAGGCACAGCCTTTCACTACCAGTGAAGAACAGGGTGGAGGGAGGGAGTGATCAGGAAGGATGTGGCTTTCACTTCCCAGGTGAAAGTTGGTAAGAGACAAGAGAGTGTGAAGTCTCCCAATTGGAGCTGTCTTTTTTTAAATGTCTGAGTTCTGCAGGCTTGCATGTGGACTGAGAAACCTTTTGGGTCAGGCTTTGCTGTCCTGGGGAACAGTCCTTCAAGCCCAGAGATGAGGGGCTCTCTTCTGGAGCCAGATGCCATGTCAGGGGATTCATGAGTGAACTGTGTGTCTGCAAAGCCTCCCAGCGCCTGGCAGTGTTTTTCCAAGAGGCAAGGCTCACATTTCAGGGCGCCTGCCCCTTGAATAACCTCAGGGGCCAGCATGCCTTTGCTTATGGGTTTTAGATGTGGAGAAATCAAGATCAGCACTGTTTCACTTCTCTTTGTTTCATTTAGGAATTATTTTTATTATGCGATGTCTCTGAAAGGTTTAGTTAAGATGTGTCACTCAGGGAAATGGAAGCTGAGTTAGAAGTGACGTGTCAATCATATGTATTTCCTTATGGTTCCACTCATCATCTTTATGACTTCCCAGGCCCAACTGAATCCCCATGACCATCACTTCCATTAAACTCCTAATAACCTATTACACAGCAAAAATGTCAGCTAAGAATGGTGAAAATAAGTGTCTCTGTATGTTTGTGAAATTTTCAAAAGGTTTATCACATCCATGCTGTGCCATATGCTGTGTTATTGTTACCCCGCTAGGCTCACATTGGTTGTGGGCCGCCTGCATGTGGTGGGTGGCCTTAGCAAAGACATGAAATCTATGCTGATTCTATAGCATGTATAAAAATCATAGGAGTTGATGGGAAGTGAGAGTTGTAAATGGTGATGGGTTTGGCTGGAGAGAGAAATGAAAAGAACTGACATCAGGATTGGTGTTTCAGAAAAGGAAAAAGCTTTGGAAGGAGCTAATAGTTATGGCTGAAGGAGGCAGTGGATGACTGAATCACTAGACCATCCCATAGTGTGGGAGCGAGAGGGATCTTCCTCAAAACCCCCACTTTAGCATAGTCAGAGGGCAGTGGCAAAATGTGTGTGTATGTGTGTGTGTGTGTGTGTGTGTGTGTGTGTGTGTGTGTGTGTGTGTATGGGACAGAAAGGGACCAAAAATCTCAACCACTCTATATATAGAGAGCTATAGGTCCTTGCTTCTCATATATTTGTATTCAATTCAATTCGATACTCATTTGTGAAATCCATATCATGTGCAATGTAGTGTGTTAGGGTATAAAGGCGATAAAAAGTAGGGGGGGGGATGTGCATGACAGTCCAGCAATAGAAAACACACACAAAGGAATCTCAAGAAGGAGAAAGTGGTAGTAATTAGAGGACTGGGAAAGGTAGGAAGCACAACCAGAGCTGGGCTTTGAAGGAAGCTAAGAGGTAGAGGAGAAGAGGGAGAGTGTTACCCTGAAGAATGGAGGAGTGAGTAACAGAAATCCCTCTTTGTCCTCAGAGTCTGGGCTGAAGTTGATGTTAAGGGAGCAAATATCCTGATTTAAACCTTCCTTTTGTTCCCCCTTTCCCCTCTCATGACTACCCCACTTCCCTCTCCAATGCCATCCTGTGGTGAGAGTCAAAGCTAAAATGAGAAGAGGGGAAATTGTTGAGAGGGAGTCGGCTTCACTGATTTTTTTGCTATGTCTCATGAGCAGCTGTCGTGCATCTGCTGACCAACATTCTCAACCTTCTCTTAGCATTCTCAACTGCAAATTCAAGTGGGAAAACTTCTCTTTTTTGATGTCTTGCTCGCAGGATTGATCAGGTCAGAAGCATTTGTCCAATATGATGGTTACACCAGGACTCTAATGAGGTTTGGGGGATTTTCTGACTGTCTTTGGGGACTGTGCTTTGAATAGCACATCTGGAGGAGGAAGATTGGCAGAAGCTTCTACCAACCATGTGTTTATCTGACAAGAGATGCTGAGAGACACAGAGCAATGTAGAAAGAGAGAGAGAGAGAAAGAAACAGAGGGACAGAAGCATATATTGATATATATATGAATATATATTGATATATATATGTATATATATATAGAGAGAGAGACAGACAGACAGACAGACAGAGACAGACAGAGACAGAGAGCCAGAAATAGAGAAACAGATAGAAAAAGAAACAGACAGAGAGAAGCAGGCCAGCTCTGTGATACCAAGGAAGTCTCAAATGCACTACTTCCCATAATCCCTGCAGCTCATGAAGGCTCTGGAAGGGAGATAACACTGGGTGTTAGGTCCCTAGTCCTTCCTTTCTCACTGCCCTCTTTTTGGATTCTTTCCCAGTTTGTTGGCACTTAAGGCTATATTTGTAACCTGAGCCAGCTTTCCAAAGGCTTCCTGGTATGCCCTTGATGGGGAGAGCATTCAGGTGTCATTGGTAGCTGGCAGTAGCAGCCCAGAAGGCCTATGCAGGTGCCATAGTGAGAGTTATTGTGCTGCTGCTTTAAATCAAGCATGTTAGAAAAGTGATGAAAATTATGGAAAAACTAGTGAAAATGACAGTGGCCTTCCTTGGTGAAGATGCTACTCCCAGAAGGAGGATATGGTCTTTAAATTGTTATTTTTCAAGTGAGGATGAATTTGTCATGGTTTATTAGCCTCACTTTCTTATTGAGGCCCCCTTGGGTTAAATACAACCTATTTGGCTTTTCGTTGGTTTGTCCATCTGGGATGGAAAGTATAAGTGGACAATGTATTGGACACAGAATTGAACAGGAGGTGGGAAATGAGCTGGGATGCCTTCAGGAAATTGAAAATGCCTTTAATGACCCTGAACTTCTGAAAAAAAATCAGTCATTTAACAGGCTTTTATTAAATGCCTACTACGTACCAACCATTAGCTGAGCAGGCAGCAAGCCCCAAAGTTGTGAGAAGAAAAAGAAAACAGTAACGATAAAAATCCAACCAGGATTAATATAGTGCTTTAAGGTTTGCAAAGCCTTTTACATATTATCTCAATTGATCCTCACAATTACCCTGTGAAATTGATGTTATTGCCTCCATTTTAGAGATGAAGAAACTGAGGATCAGAGCAGTAAAGTGACTTGCTCGGGGTCACAGAGCTAGTAAGTGTCTGAGGCAGTACTCAAATCTAAGTCTTCCTAATAATAGCTAACCTTTATATAGTGCTATTATGTGCCAGCCACTGTGCTAAGCACTTTATAATCATCATCTCATTTAATCCTCACAACAATCCTGCAAGGTAGATGCTATTATTATCTACATTAAACAGATGAGGAAACTCAGAAAAATAGAAGTGACTTGCCCAGGGTGACAAAGCTAGTAAGCGTCTGAGGCTAAATTTGAACTCAGGGTTCTTGACCCTAAGTTCACCTATCTCACCTGCCATCTAGTGGTTATCAGATTGGTTTGACTGTAGCTGAACTCTTTTCAGCATAAAGTATTTGGCTGCCTTGTTGATTACTCAACATGAAGGGTTTTCTTTTTAAAGATCCTTGGGCTGGGGTGTTGTTCAAATGTAAGATGACCAGAGGGGCCCTGAGGCAGCCGGTGCTAATGCAATGAATTGAGTCCTGGGACTGCAGTCATAGGACCTGGCTTGAATCCTTATTGGTTACTTATGTGAACTTTAGACCTTGATGTCATCCAATCAAGAAGCATTTTTTAAGCATTGATAATGTGGCAGGCACTGTGCTGTGCACTGGGGATACAATACAAGGGGAGCACTGTCACCTCAACTCTACTTCAGTCTCTAAACATCTCTTGTCCTCACTTATAACAGGTTCCCACAGCATGGCCAGTGGAAAGCAGGAGCAGATGAATTATTATGTGGGCATTGACGTGGGGACGGGCAGTGCCCGGGCAGCTTTGGTCAGCCAGCAGGGGACCCTTGCTGCTTATGCGGAGTACCCCATCCGAAAGTGGGAACCTCAAGCAGACCACCATGAGCAGTCCTCTGATGACATCTGGGCTGCATGCTGCATCGTCACAAAGGTAGGGTGAGAACTGGAGGTCTCTTTGTTGGAAAGGATAAAGTGTTACCCTTGTTCAGGTGGATTATAACCCAGAAGGCCTCTGGGATGTTGTAGAATGAGTTCTGGGGTTGGAGTCCGAGGACCTCAGTTTGAGGGCTTGATTTGCTACTTTCTACCTCTGTGAACTTAGGCATGACCTAAGTACATGCCTCACAGTTCTGTCTGTCAATTGATGTTGACACCAGATTGAATTGGACTCCTTGGGGATGGAGGGAAACACTCATGGGTTCATAGGATCACAGATTTAGAATTGGAAGAGATCTTAGAGACTTCATTTTGCATATGGGGAAACTGAGACCTAGGGAAGATGAGTGACTTGCCTGGTGTCATGCAAGTGATGAGTAACAGTGTAAAATATGAACTCAGGTCCTACAACTCCAAATCCAGCGCTGTCCATGGTACCTTATAGCCTCTCCTTCCTTTTTCAGGTTTTGTGTGATGATTCTTTGTTCTGTTTTGCTAACCTGTAAAGGCTAGGGATGAAGAGTTTCCTTTGTCCTCTATTTTTCTTTAAGGACTCTATTTTTTAAGTGCTGGTTTCTCTCTGCTCTCTGTTCTTGAATTTGGCCCTTTAAATATTCATGAGGTGCTTGGTAATTTGCAGATGGACAATTCGCCATTCTGTCGTTATTGATCAGTCTTCTCAAACATTAATGAGCCCTGTGCAACCGGGAGCACCCAGAGAAGAATGGAAGGGGTTGAGGAACTGGGGAGAAATGATGCAGGGCAATAACTGAGAGATCTCATCCTCTATTCTGCCTGTTTCATTTTCCATTCTTTTTGGTGTGAATAGTCTCCTCTTTGCCCTAGGGTCTCTACTGTTCTTCTAGCACATAACCTCTTTTGCCATTAAGGAAATTGTCAAAGAGAAAATGTAATTCCCTGATGAAAAGCTGATTTCAAATAGTCTACTCTAAGTATAGCTTGGTTTTAATGGCTAATTTTTATCATCTCCAAGTGATGGCCAACTTATTACTTGTTTGCTTTCTAATATTTCTACCAGTCGCCATTGACTATTCATCAAAAGAGACACAGGGGAGCAAATGGAAAACACCCAATTTAGTCTAGATAAAAGTGGGGCTCAAGTATAGGCTTTCATCTCCATTGGGCTAGCTTTACCTTATCTCTGCTTTGCTGGGGTAGGTCTGCTTCCTATTTCTAGTTTTCTCCACTTATTAATAGAATCATAAAATCTCAAAGGTGAAAGGGACTGACCAGGGTCCTCTTGACCACATTTCTGACCAGTTGTCATCTAGTTTGTACTGGAGGACCCAAATGGATGGAGGAAAGGGGATACAGACAGGTGTGCTGTAAAGAAAAAAGTGCTTTGAATGATGAGAGTTGAAAAGTAACTGGGGCTGATATGGGAGCAAGTGAGCTGTCTTTCAGTGAAGGACTTCAAATAAAGGCTGTAGTGTTATTTCAAAAACTAGAGAGGGAATTCTGACTGAGGTATAGGTTAGAATACATGGTCTCCAAGGTCCCCTCAAATTCTTTGGGTCTGTATATTCTCTGATATAAACAAGAGATCTGTTCAGATATATGTCATCATGAAAAATGAGACACGTTTTAGAAATATACAGAGTAACATTCTTGGTCATTGTAAAGAATTACAAAAACTCAGGGTAGCTAGGTGGCACAGTGAATAGAGTGCCAAGAGTCAGGAAGCCTGAGTTCAAATCCAACCTCAGATACTCACTAGCTGTGTGACCCTAGCCAAGTCACTTAACTCTGTTTGCCTCAGTTTCCTCATCTGTCAAATGAGCTGGAGAAGGAAATGTCAAACTATTTCAAAATCTTTGCCAAGAAAATCCCAAATGGGGTCATGAAGAGTCAGACATGATCAAAAAAACCTGAAAAATAAAAAACTCTAAATATTCAATAATAAATTAATGTCTTAAGGAGAAGTGATGCAATAGAATACTAATGCACTTTTAGGCAGGATAAATATAAATTAAAAAAAACCTAGAAAGTATTCTTTTAAGTCTTCTCCAGTGCTTAGCACAGTGCCTGACACATAGTAAGTGCTTAACAAATGTTTATCAAATGACTGAGTGAAGACACATGTACCAGACACACTGACCAGAAGTACAGACTGTCCAGGACTATGTGAGAGAACCAATATGTACCCAAAATGTAGCCCTAGCCTTTTGTTTTGAAAGTCCAAAAAGGCTACTAATCAATAAACAAGCACTGATGAAATGCTTTCTACATGCCAAATCTTGTGCTGGGTGATGGGGATATAAACACAAAGAATAAAGCCACCCATGCTATTAAGAAGTTATATTTGATCAGGGAATAGACTAAACCATTTATGCCTATTAACTCATCAATTCCGCTAATGAGCATATATGCCAAGAAAGTCTGAGACAAGAAAGAAAAGTCTCATACATATACATACATATATATGCACAGACATATACATATATGTATATACATATATAAATGTGTATATATGTGTATCTTTGTGTAGATGGAAAGGCATATATACATACATATGTATCAAACTATTCAGAAGAGTATTTTTTGTTATTGCAATAGCAAATTACAGAGGGAAAAATGTGTCCATTGAGGCACCATAGAGGCAGCTCAGTGGGACAGTAGTTAGAGGGCTGGGCCTGGAGTCGGGAAGAGCAGAGTTCAAATTTGATCTTAGGTATTTATTAGCTATGTAACCTAGAGCAAGTCATTTAAACTCTGCTTTGTCTCAGTTTTCTCAGTTGTAAGATGTGGATAATAATAGCACTTCCCTCCCAAGGTTATTGTGAGGATCAAATGCTATGTTATTTGTGAAGCACTTAGCAGAGTATCTAGCACATTTTTGTGGTGGTGCTGCTCCTGGTGGTTCAGTCATTTTAGTCATGTCCAATTCTTCATGACCCCATTTGGGGTTTTCTTGGCAAAGATATTGGAGTGGTTTGCCACTTCCTTTTCCAACTCATTTTCAGATGAGGAAACTGAGGTAAACAGGGTTAAGTGACTTGTCTAGGGTCACACAATATTTGAACTCAGGAAGATGAGTCTTCCTGACTTTAGGCCTGACAATCTATATCCACTGTGCCACCTAGCTGCCTTATGCTTAGCACATAGTAGGCATTTAATAAATGCTTGTTTCTTTCCTTCATTTCATTGTTTCAGGAATGGTTCAATGAAATGTTGCTTGCTCAGACATAAACAAAGAAAAGAATGGAAAATGATCCAAAAGCAGTAACTAATAAGCTATTGGAGATACGTTGAGTGTCAACATTCATTTTCAACAAGGATTTATTAAGTGACTACTATGTGCCAGGTACTGGAGATATAAGGACAAAAGTGACAAAAATCAATTGATCAGTCAACAAGCATGTATTAAGTACCAACTTCGTGCTGCTAGGCATTGTGCCATTGAGAGGAAACACCATGTATATGGCAATTGCTAAACCTTGTCTTTTCTATCCCAACAACATCTCTAGAATCTTACCCCTTCTTTCCACCCCCTCCCAGACACTTACCTGGTTCAGATTCCCATTAAGTCTTCCCCTAATTGGTGTCTATTGCCTCAGAGCTCTTCCCTCTACAATCCACTTCCATTGAGATGCCAAAGTGATGTTCCTAAAACAAAGGTCAGTCCCTTTCTTCATAAACTCCAGAGGTAAAAATTAACAATGAAATTTGTAAAACCATAAAGAACCAACTTGGCCCCAAAGAAAAGAGATGAGAAGATATCTCCCCTAGCTAGCTCCTTCACAGTGGTGGTGGTGGTAGTGGTGGTAGTGGTGGAGTCATGGCTGTGGAAAATTGCAAATATGTTCAGACATTTTCAAGTATCAATCATTTTTGTTGCTGCTTTCTACTTCTTTTTTCTTAAAACAAATTAACAAACAACTTTTGTCACAAAATTTAGCCCTCTGGACACCATTCCTTATAGTGATGAAATCCCAAAGAGGGAGAAATCTAGGTAATGTAAAAATAAAATATATCAATAAAAATCAGTTCAGAACTGGTTCCTTTTGCCCTCTTGGACCAAATACTATTTTCTTTGTTTGTTATTTAAAGCCCTTCACAACTTAGCCCCAATCTACCCTTCCAGGCTTTCTATATATTACTCCCCTTCTCCCACCCTATGGTCCAGCTAAACTGGCCTTCCTGTTGTTCTGCATACACATCTGTAGTCTCCGTCTCTTTCCCCAGACTGTCCTCCATGCCTAGAATGTATTTCTTCCTCACTGCTGCCTCTTAGAATCCTCAACTTTCTTCAAAACTCAACTCAATACCAATTACAGGAGGCCTTTCCTGAATCCCCCTACCAAAATTTATTTATCTTTGCACTTATTTTGTAGATTTCATCTATAAACTCATTCATGCACACATTCTTTCTCCTGATAGAATGGAAGCTTGTTGAGGGCAAGTTCATCGATAGTAGGTGATTAATAAATGCTTCTTGATTGATTGACAAAGGGTTACCAACATATTATAGTCATAGATCATCAATTTTGGAGGACACAAACTAGTCCAGTCTGATCATGATATGGAGTGTTTGGAGGGATGTAACCTGGTATCAGAGCAGAAAGGCATGAGTAGAGCCTTGTTCTTAAGGACTTTACATCTTCGGCTGGAATTTTTACATTTTACCTGATAGGAAGAAGGAAACCCCCAAAGATTCTTGAGCAGTACTCATCTGCTACGGGTCATGGGTACAGGCCCTTCTGATTGAGTTGCATCTTCTCTTTTTACAGAAAGTGGTACAGGGAATAGATGCTGCTCGGATTCGAGGACTTGGTTTTGACGCCACGTGCTCACTGGTTGTCTTGGATAAGCAGTTTCAGCCATTGCCAGTAAACCAGGAAGGTAAAAAGAAGATGGGTACCATCTATTCCTGCATTTTTTGCAACCTCACCATAAGACATTCAAATATATTGATACTAAAGCATACAGTCCTTAATTCCATCCCATCTCTGCCCTTCCCACACTGTGGGTGGTAAACCCGTTCGCCTCTGGACTTAAAATAGCATTTTGTTTTCAACGCCCTTGAGCACCCATTCTATGTGATTTTTAGCATTATATTGCATGATTATTTGTGTGTGTAGTACCTCTTCCTTACTCCCTCCTCGAGGGGCATTGTTTGTATCCTATCTAAACATTTCATATCTTAGAGCACTCAGGAGAGAGTTCTCCATACAGAAGATCAATGGATATTTGTGGATTAAAGAAATTTAATTCAGATCTGAGAGGACAGTTTTCTGATTGGGGTATCATGGAGGCCTTCTCAAAGTAACATTTGAGATGAATTTTGAAGGATGAGTTGAAGTTTGAAGGATGAAATTGGATAAACAGAGTTGAGGTATATGTGTGTGTGTGTGTGTGTATGTGTAGTGACCATGGAGAGATGAGGAATAAATTAATGAAAAATAATTTATTATGGGCTTCTGGGTATCAAGCATTGTGCTAAGGGCTGGAAATACAAACAGAAAATGAGTCAGTCCTCATTTTCAAAGATCTCTAATTCTAACTGGGAGAGACAAGACATTTAGAAGGGTCAGCTGCTAAGTGGCTAGAAAGGCCCAGTGGTTCTAAGGTTTCAGTGGCAGGTGAGATGGCAAGGCCCAGGGATAAAGGGAAAGAATTGTAATAAAGACTCTTCAGTGGCTTATTATGGGTTAAATAGACTTTGGGGCTGGTCGAGGGATCTACCATCATTTATAGCATTCACAGAGCTGGAAGTGACCCATTAGAGTTGGAAGGAACTTCAGAGTTCATCTATTACCACTTGTACCTGAAGAGAAATTCTTTCCATATGGTCATCTGGCCTCTACTTGAATACCTCCAATGATGTGAAACCCTCCCTCTACCTGAGGAAGCAGCAAAATTTCCTTTTTGCTTAGCTCTAATTGTCAGGAAGCTTTTCTTGTTATCTGTCCTAAATCTGCCCCATTTCCTCTTCAAGCCATCGGTCCTCATTCTTCCTTTTCGGTCCTTTCAGAATAATCTACTCCCTCTTCTATGTGACAACAGACATCACTTCCTTCCTCCTCCAGATCTTCTCTTCTTTCATTTAGTTACACCTAGGTCCATGTTCTGATCCCTTTATGTTCTCAACCTTTATGGCTCTCCATCCTGCTTGACCCTTTCTGGACACTCCATCTTTATCAACATCCTTCTCAAAATATGATGCTTAGAAGTTGGTCAGTCAAAAAGCATCTTTCACATGCCTGGAGCTGTGCTGAGAGCTGGAATTACAAAGAAAAGGAAAAAAAAACACAGGCCTTGCCTTTAAGAAACTAACATTCTAATGAGGGGACAATGTGCCCCAAAAATGTGCACGTAAGGTAGATAATAGAGATGATGGAAAGGAATATCAATGAAAAGGCACTACTGGGGAAGGCAGGAAGGGGACCAGGAAGGGCCTTGTATGAAAAGTGGGATTTGAGTCAGTTCTTGAAGGAAGCCAAGGATTCTGAGAAATGGAGGGAAGAAGGGAGAAACTTCCAGCCAAAAGGGGGCATCCAGGAAAAAGAAAGGGAGCTGGGAGATGGAATATTTCATTCAAGGAACAGCAAAGAGACCAATATCACTATATTATAGAGTATATGAAGAGTTGTAAAGACTGGAAATGTAGGAAAAGCCAGTGTGAAAGGCTTCAAAAGCCAAACAGGATTCTGCATTTAAACTGACCCTGGTCCTCCAGATGGGGCCTCATGAAAAATCTTTGGAACAAGTTATAGGCCTGGCTACTGGTTTTATTTGTGCTCTATGAGAGTTAATGATGAAGAATGTTTAAAAGAATTTTCCTTGAGGCAGAATGTTCTAGGGAAAGAAGGATCTAAGGTGTCTGTTCCTAGAAGAACTTATCTTCTGAGTTCCAGATCAAATTATCATGTCATAGGGTCCTTGAGCTAGACAGGACCTTAGAGACCATCAAGTCCAATTTCCACATTTTACAGGAAAGGAAACTGAGTCTCAGAGAAATTGCGACTTGCTTATGGTCACAAAGCTAGTAAGTGTCTGAGGACAGGACTTAAGGTCAGATCTAGACCTCCCTGGCCCCAAGCCCAACATTCTCTCTAGAATCCCACGCTGACTCTGTTTGAAGTCAAGTTGAATCGACAAGTACTTACTAAATGTCTACTATGTTCCAGGCACTGTGCTGAGTGCTGAGGATACAAAGAAAAGAAAAAAAGTAAGAACAGTCCCGGCTCCAAAGAGCTCGTTCTCTGACAGGCGAGACAAGATGCAGGCAACTGTGTATAAACAAGGTGCAGGCGGGATAAATTAGAGAGAGCCCACAGAGGGAAGGCCTTGGCACCGAGGGAAATCAGGAAAGGCTTCTTGTAGAAGGTGAGATTTTAACTGAGACCTGAAGCAAGCCAAGGATGCCAGGAGGCCAAAATGAGGAGGTAGAGAATTCTACGAACCTGAATGAATGGAAAAGGATTTATTGAGCATTGAGAATATTATTTATTCATTATTATGAATAAATAACACACTTATTATTTACTGTGTGCCAGGCACTATGCCTGATGAAACTTCAGGCACACAGTCTGCTCATAAGCTTGTGGTTGCTTGCAGCTCTGTCAAAGAGACTTTTCAGAATCAGTGACCCTGGAGAGCTACTTTTAGGAATCCTTTCTGTATGCATGATCACATAATGCTGCCGAGACATGGGATCAGGCTTAGTCTGCTTGGCTCAGAAAGACAGAACGAGTATCCCCTCACAACTAGATATTAGGAAAGAAGCCTGTTATGGTTCAATCAGAGAGATAACTTTCAAACGACAGACTGTCTAGTATTGGAACGAAATGCTTTGTGCAGTAATGAGTTCTTCATCATTGGAGGTATTTCTTCTCAGTAGAGGCTAAGTGGTCATGTCGAAGAATCATGGTGCACTGCTATCTTCAAAGAATCAAATTGTTGGCATCGTGGTATTTCAGAGTTGGAAGGGACCTCAGAGGACACTGAATTTGACCCATACCTGAACAAAAACCCCCTCTCCAACATACCACATAAACGGCCATCTGGTTTTTGTTTTAAGTTGTTGTTGAGTCATTTCAGGCGTGTCTGACTTTTTTATTACCCCATTTGGAGTTTTCTTGGCAAAGATATCGGAATTATTTGCCATCTCCTTCTCTAGTTCATTTGACGGATGAGGAAACTGAGACAAACAGGGTGAAGTGACTTGCCCAGGGTTACACAGCTAGTAAATGTCTTAGGCAGGATTTGAACACAGGTCTTCCTGACTTAGTGCTCTATCCATCGTACCACTTTGATGAAACTTCCAAGACAAAGAAACTACTGCTTCCCCAGGCAACCAATTCCATTTTGTGATGCCCATAGTTATTAAGAGTTTTTTCCTTGATATCAAGCCTAAACTGTGATTTTACACATTCTGCCCATCATTCTTTATTCTGCCTTCCACAGCCAAAAGGAAAAGAAGTTGAACCCCTCTTTCAACATGACAACCTTTGAAATACTCAAAGTGATCAGTCAGGTCTTCCCTGAGTGTTTTCTTCTCCAGGCTAAGCACAGCTAGGCCTTTCCATTTTTCTTCATAGGACATGAACCTGAAGCCCATCAGCATGCTGGTTGCTCTTTCTGGATGCTCTCCAGCTTGTTATTCCCTTCCTAAAAGGTAGGACAAGGTAGAAGGGATTTCCAGGCTATTTAAAAATCAGATCTCTTGGCCCCCTCCTGCCCCTGAGACTGACTGATGATATGAGTGCATATCCATTGAGACAGATGAAAAAATGTCCATAACCTGGTACACCAGGCTGCCAGAGCAGCTCTCCAATGGGCCAGCTTCTGCTCCCCAGATAGCTTCTCTTCATCTGGGTGCAGAATGGCCTCCTATGCACACGCCCTCCATTAAGAGGCTCAAGAGGTCAAAACCCTCATTATAAGTGATGAAATAACTTTGTTCAACCCCAAAGGTTAAAATGCATCCAAGCATTACATACATCCAGCTTTAGGTCAGGGCCCTGCCCCAGGCTTGGTGCCTTTCAGCAGGATTAAATTAAAGGCAGATTTGATCTGAAATGTATTAACCTGTGTTGGAATTAGGAGTTGATTTTTTAGAGAGTCGTTCTGTTAGTCTCTTTCTGTACTCCATTAGCTCTGATTGTATCCACGTGCATGACCCCATGGCCTTTTGGGGGTGCTTTCCACCACCACCCTCTGACTGATCCATCATGCACAAAACCACAGAATCTCAGAGTTGGACTGGACCTTAGCAGCCATCTAGCCAGCACATGCACTGAAGAAATCTCTGCTGTAATATCCTCAAGAGAACGTGCAGTCTCACTCAGTTTGAAGACCTCCAAAGATGGGGAACCCACTGCCTCTCAAAGTGGACCATTCTACTTCTGGGTAGCTCTCATGGTTTGGAAGCTTATCTTAGCATTGAGACTTCATCTGATGACCTACAACTTCCACCCTAGTCTATGGGGAAAACAATACAAAACAAAACATAAATCCCTCTTTGAAATGAGAACTTTCATAATGCTTTGTACCTTCTTCTCCAAGCTACACTGCCTCAGTTCTTTCAAGTGACTGTCATACGACATGATCTTGAGGACAGCTGTTGTGAAGGTGGTATAGTGGATAGAAGGCTGGACTGAAAGTCAGGAAGACCTGAGTTCAAATCCTACCTCAGACATGCTTAGTAGCTTTGGGACTCTGGGCAAGTCATTAACTGCTCTTATCCTCAGTTTCCTCATTTGTGAAATGGGGATAATAATAGCCTCTCCATCACAGAATTACAGTGAAGATGATTTTCCACATATAAAGTGGGCAAGTCACTTAACTCTCACTGGCCCAGGCAATTATTTCAGCCTATAAATTGCAAAGCCCTACTC